ATCCCCAGTACCAAAAAAAAGAAAAGTCATCAGGCTGCACACTTAGGAGTGTGCATATCTCTCCTTGTACTAAAAAGCTACTAAAAAATGCTGGGTGTGGTGGTACATGCCTGTAATCCCAGCACTCAGGAGGCTGAGGCAGGAGGAGCACTATAAGAGTTTGAGGCTAGCTTGGGCTACATAGTGAGTTCGAGGTCAGCCTGAACTACATAGCAAGACCGTATTTCAAAAAAAAAAAGTACTAAAAAATAAAGAAACCACAATGATCATTCACTATGGACATTAATGTATTTAAAATTTTTAAAATTGGGGCTGGGGACTTAGCTCAGTGGTTCTGCCGCCTACCTTGAAAGTGCAAGGTCCTGAGTTTGATTCCCAGTACCAAAACAAAAAAAACCCAAAATTTTTAAAATTATAAAGTATAATAGGTACCTAATCTCAGGGTAAAAGATGCACCCATGTAATGAAATTCAATTTTATAGTACTTTCTTTTTTCCTTCATTGCTAAGAATCCACAAAAATATCTCATCATAGATAAGCACCATCTGGAGACTGGCTACATCAGAATCACCTAGGGAGCTTAAAAAATATATATATAGCATCCCAGACAGAGTGATCACCAGGACAAGATAGGAAATCCAGAAATAGACCCAAATACATGTGGGAATTTGATATATGCTAAAGGTGGCATTTGGAATCAGTGCAGGGAAGACAAGATTATTCAATATGGTGTTGGTCCAACTGGTTAATCACTCAGGAAAAATAAAACCGTATCTCTATTTCACTCCAATCACCAAAATAAATTCCAGATGGATGAAAAACATAAGTAAGAAAAATATTCTAGCCAGGTATGGTGGCACATGCCTGTAATCCCAGCAATCAGGAGGCTGAGGTAGGAGGATTGCCACAAGTTCAGGGCCAGCCTGGACAACATAGTGAGTTTGAGGTCAGCCTGAACTGCAGGGCAAGACTCTGTCTCAAAAAACAAAATAACAACAACAAAAACCTAAGAGGATGACAAGAATACGAACTGTTTTACGGCCTTGAAGTAGGACCTGCTTTTAACTGTCTTAATCACTTTTTCTCATTGCTGAGATAAAATACCTGACACCCAAAGTGAAAGGAGGAAAGGTTTATTTTGGCTCACAGTTTGTAGAGGTATCAGTCCATAGCTGGCTGGATTGGAGGCAGGGCGGCATGGCAGAGGGGTACTGCAGAGGAGAAACAGTTCATGGAAGGCAGAAGGCAGAAGGTAGCAAACTAGTAGCAACAATAGCAACTTCTTTCTGCCCCACTTATATTCTATCTAGGCTACCTGGCTTAGGGCAGATGCCAAACCAATCAGTGGACTAATTTAGGAATCATATACCCTTAATTCCAGTGCCCTTAATCTTCGCATTGGACCATGAATTAATCCCAGCATCACACACTCTAGATCCAGCCACTTCTGAAAAGCCCCCACTTATGACCACATGAGGCTTTGGGGGGACACCAACATAACACCAACATTTACTAAATATTTTCTCTCTCCCTAACTTTGTGTTAGGTCTGCAAGTGGAGGGACAAATAGAGATTCTGGCCCTCCAGGAACGCATGTCATACAGGGGCTGATCCAGAACAGTGGCTCCCAGGTTTTAAGATTTCATTAACCATAAATAATCATTTTTAAATCTTTTGCTTTTTAATAATCATAGAATAGGGAAAGCATTCCTATACATAATATAAAACCTCAAAGTCATTGGAAAAGATCAATACATTTTTTGTGGCCCTGGGAATTGAACCCAGAGTCTTCCCACTGAGCTATATCCCTACTTCTTTTTTTATATTTTGAGACAGGATCTCACTAAGTGGCTAAGTTTCCAGGCTTGGGCTTGAACCTGTGATCCTCCTGCATCTCAACCTCCTAGAGTGGTGCAGAGTAGTGTTTGTGCAGAGTGAAGCTGAGGTAGCATCAAAAAGCTGATTATAGGCATGTGCCACCATGCCCAGCTTGGCTAGTTTATGTGGTCTAATTTATTAATCTTTTGTAGCTGGCCATGGTGGTGCATACCTATAATCACAGCACTTTGGAAGGCTAGGGCAGAAGGATCAAAAGTTTGAGTCCAGCCTGTAAAACTTAGCCACTTAGTGAGACTCTATTTCCAAAAAAGGAAATTAAAAAGGGATTTGGATGTAGCTCAGTGTAAAGGCCCTGGGTTCAGTTCCTAGTAACACACACACACACCCCATACATATTAGTTCCGTGTGCAACAACAAACAACATACTGTTTTGCATATTTTATCCCTTCTATAAATAGTGCTGATCACCAGGCATGGTGGCACATGCCTCTAGTGGCAGGACTCAGGAGGTTGAGTCAGGAGGATCGGTATGAGTTCAAGGCCAGCCTGGGCTAGGTAGTGAGTTCAAGGCCAGCCTGAACTATTCCATGAGACACTGTCTCAAAAAACCAAACAAATAAATAAAATATTTAATAAATAAAAGTGTTGACCCATATAGTACAGCTCTGACACCTGGGCAAGCCAGGCTGTGGACTTGAGTTTTAGAGGGTCTCTTCCTGGCCCTCCACAGGCCAAGAGGTCGGGGGGGAGGGGGTTGTGTGCACAGGTCAGGCCTGTGGGTCTCCTGTCCAGGGTCCCTCCTCTTGAGGGCTGAGGAGTGACCAAGGGGCCCCTGTTTGTTCAGTGAAACTGAGGCAGCATCAGAGAAGCTGAAAGTGGGCTAGTGAGGACAGGGCTGAGGGTGGTCCTCTGTGCCCACGCTTGCCTTGTACTGCTTGGCAACTTGCTTTTCCACCCAAGGTAACATTTTTCAGCCTTTTTCTTTTCTTTTGCCATGCTAAGGATGGAACCCAGGGCTTCACCTCTCCAGGTTACGTGCCTACCACTGAGCTACAACCCCCAGCTCTCATCAGTACATTTTTGAGCACTATCTGTGTTACTATCTTTAGCTTGCTTATTGATTTTCACTCCCATACAGAACTTCATTAAAGTTTTTGAAGTTTCGGATTCCTGGCGAGTACCCAAAAGATTCTGATAAGAGGAAGGAGCTAGACAAGGCTGAGCAACAGTCTCTTTGGGAGGCCTGCATGAGGCAGCTCCACAGGCCAGTTTGGGGAATTCGGGGAGACAAGTCTTTGGCTTTGCACAGGCTGCTACTGCCGTGCTCTGCTGCCCCTCCACATGGTCCCCAAGGTGGGCCTGCCACCCCCTGCCCAGGTTTGCAGCTCCACCTGATTCAGGTCTGGGAGGAGGCGGAGGCAGCTGGTGCCCCCTGCTGGAAGCCAGCTCGAGCTGACCGAGCCCTTCCCAGCACCCCTTCGCCTGGCCATGGGCACTCAGCCTTTGGGGTCCTCTAAGGCCCGCTCAACTTAGGCACTAGTAAGAGCCATCTCTTCTCGCTCCAAGAAACATTCCCATAGACATTCTAATAGTTCCCATTTTATGGAGCCTTTATTAGGGGGACGTAGCTCAGTGGCACCGCGCCTGCCTGGCAAGTGCAAGGTCCTGCGTTCAATCACTGCTACAAAGCGGTTTATGATCCTGGTGTATCCAGTGTGCACTGCGTAATCTTTCGCGAGATACTGGATCCCTGAGTAATTCAGTTCCTCAGGAACAAATGGAGACAGTATATCATCTTCCTCAGAGGACTGCTTTAAGGATCAGAGTGAAAATGTGAAATGTTTAAAGCAAAGCGGCATCCAGTGTACAGCATAGTTACTATCAGGTGCCAGACTCAGGGCTAATGAGTTCTCAGTGGCCAAGGGTTTACTTATGCCAGAGCTGGTCTACATTCTTTCTGATTATATCCTTCAACATCACAACTCCATGAAACGAATGCACTTATGTTCACATCTGCTTTATGGCAGAGGAAACTGAGGCAGACAGGCCAAGCACTCAAGGCAGTACTTGAACCCAAGCAAATGTACTCCAAGGGGTCATACTTTAATCACTACATTGTAAGGAACAGGGAAAGGGGACGTTACTAGAACCTCTGCAGTAAGTCCTAGTTTCCTGCGAGCTGGCAGCACAAGGCAAATTAACTTATTATACAGGAAAGGTAAAAAAATGAGACGGGGAGAAGCTGAGCTTTGGGCCTGATCAGTGTTGCTCTGGGCAGCAAAGACAAAGACCCCTAGCTTGCAGCACCTTTTATTCAGTACCTCGGGAGAAACAAATGCAACAAATGAAATGCAGAGAGCTCAGTACCTCACATTGGGATAAACAAGGTGTAACAAATGACTGGGGGGTGCGGAAATCCAAGAACAATGAGGAACTATGCAGATGAAGATTTGGTTCTTCCCAAGATGTCTTCAGCTGGTGTAATCTTGTCCTGGAGAATCACAGCATCAGGGGATCATTGAGGTCTCAGTTGTGACCGCAGGCCAAAATGGAATTATGTCTCGGAATGCCATAGCTGGGCTGTAGACAGAACTAGGCCTAACCAAATGATTTTTCCCTAAAATTATGTAGCATTGGTTCCAATACTACATCTTCACAGCGATTGCGTGAGATGGGTACCATCTCTGTTACATACACAGGGATGCTAGGGCTCAGACAAGTGAAGTAACTTGCCTTAGGTCATACAACTAATTAGTACTTGCTCTGCAGCCTGGACTTGACCCAGTTCTGTCTCCCTGCATTGTCTCATGCAATACCATGACAATCCAGTGGGAGCAGGGACCCCGTGTGACAAGTGAGGACACTGAACTGAGATGGTTGAGTGACTTGCTCAAGGTCGCAGAGCAAGTAAGTAGGGAGCTCTTGATTGAGGGCAGAGCCCAAGGGCATTCTGTTTGGGCCCCAGCACCCCCTTGGCGCCCTAGTGCAGCTCCTGGCCATCTCTTGCCTTTATGATTATTGCTCTTCTTCACAGGGACCCAAGTTTAGCATCACTTGCTTTCAGGCCAGCCTCAGCATAGCCGTCAAAGCTCCGGTCTTGAGCTGTCACTCAGCCTGAGTCTGGCCTCAGCACTGGCTAGAATTTAATCTTAGTCTGATTGTTTTCCCTAAACACCCTTTACGCCGGGTTTTATTAATTTGGGTTAATCGTATAACCGCGGTGGCTGGCACGATATTTACCTGGGGCTCAGCTTCCATCCCCTTGCTCTCTGGGAGGAAGCTGGTACAGCAGAAAGAACAGGGGTTGGACCCAGAGAGCCCAGAGTTCAAATCCAGCTGTGCTTCATTTCTGTAACCTCGGATGAGTTTCCTTGCCTCCTGGAACTCTCATTTCATAACCTTTAACTGGGGATGATGAATAATGATCTGTGCCTTGTAGACTGCTCTGAGGGTGAACTGCAATGAAGTATGTTCGGTACTGGGCACACAGTGGGTGCTCCAGACTTGAGTCTCCTCCTTTCCGCATCCCCACAGGCCAAAGTCCCTGCCTTCACTTCCAACATGCTCTCTTAACCTGTGTAAAATGTCTCAGGGACAGGGTTGGGCTGACAGGACGCACATTCTCTGTGGTACCTGGGACAGAGGGGGAGATCAAAAAGCATTGGGCTTATAGTCAAAATAATTCAGTCATCATTACAACAGATAGGGTTCTGTTATCTACCTTGGTCTCCAAAACCGTGCTAAGTGCTGGAGATACCACAGGAAACACAGGGAAGCAGACAAAAATTCAGTCCCTACCTATCCCTCAAGTCTTTGTTGGATCAGAAGAGATGTTTGCATACATGTCACCTGATGCCTAGATGTCAGGAATTAGAATTATGTACAACCAGGCAAACACTATTTAGACTTCAGCCCATTACCTGAATCTAAGCATTCTGGTCCTAGGGTCTTTCCCGACCATCCCATCTTGCTCCAACTCTGAAAGATGTAGGACAAATAAAAGGAAGCTTTAGGGCCAGGGATTTGGCTCAGTGGTTTTGCTGCCTGCTGCGCAAGCGCAAGGACCTGAGTTCGATCTCCAGTAGGAGAAAAAAAAAAAAAAAGGAAGCTTTAATTTACACCATAGGGAGTCAACTTAAGGGACTCATTATCCCCAGTGGTGGTACAGTTTTAAGCTATAAATAGGTTTTTAAAAACAGGTTTAGCTAAACCCATAGATAGCAGTGGCATAAAGAAAGAAGACAGAGATGAGCCAAAGCACTTACCTGGTTACTGTCTACTCTCATCTCTGCTGCCTTCCTGGGGGCATCTAATTCAATGGAAGGACCACTGAACTAGGAGTCAGGAAACCTGGAATCCCAACAGTGCTGACCATCAAGTGCATGACCTTGGACAAGTCATTTCACTGCTCTGAGCCTCAGTTTCCTCATTAGTAATATGACAATACTGAGAGTATCTAGTATCTCTGTGGGACTGCATAACCTTTGTTCCTTTTTCTCCAGCCCCATTGTGATAAAAATGTGAGTTAATGGATGGAGATGCTTGTTAGTTTAGGGACGCTAGATAGGGATCTGTAACAGACCTAGAGTCCCAGATAGTCTAGGGACGCTAGATAGGGATCTGTAACAGACCTAGAGTCCCAGATAGTCTAGGGACGCTAGATAGGGATCTGTAACAGACCTAGAGTCCCAGAGCAAACTACTCAACTCTTTGTTTACCCGGAACTGATATTCCAGGCACCACAATTGTTAG